GATCACTTTATACTCCCCAACCCCTCTGTAACCTCTTTGACAGAACGGAGTGCAAGTCCCTTACTCTCATATCCAAGGCCCTCCCTGGTTTGACCCCTAACCCCTAACCTCAGCTTTCCCACAGTCATCATGTTACCACACCATCATCGTCCCCAGGCCACCGCATCGGTTTATGCAGGCTGGGAGCTGCACAGCTTTAGGGGCACTACTCACACTGTCGTCACAGCCTGGGCAGCCTACATGGAGGCCCTTTGTGTAACCCACGGTCAAGTTAAACTTTTATCTACCGGTTATTCCACATCACCCTCAGAGCCCCTTTCTCCTAGCTTTTGCTGATCCCTGAATTTATCCTTAAGAGTCAATGTATAAAAAAAAGTCAGTGTAAATGCCACCGCTTCCGTGAAGCCTACCCTGATCTTCCCACCCTCCTCTGAGACTCCCTCTGTCAGTGATTTGTAGTCAATTGGGGCACATGGCTCATTCTGCCCCTCATTCCCACTAGACTGAGTTCCTGAAGATCTGGAACAGAGTCTTCATTATTGTGTCCCCATTGTGACCCTCCAGTACCCAGCCTGACACTCAGTGGGTGCTGAATGCAGGTTTGTGAACTTGGAGTATGTGCACATATATGACTATCTGGGGGTGAATTGTTGATATGTGTATGTGGGAGTCCCTATAACTTTGTGTGTGGTTTAGGACCACACACATACGTTTATCTTTTATTTCCAGATATTTTTTACTGTCTCACTCTGACCACCAGGGCATGCTCTTTCTCCATGTCTATGCCCCTACAGGATGCTCTGTGTTTGTGTCCCTGAATCAGGACGTGTCTCCCTTTCACCACCAGGGGGCGGTATGCTGTCCATTATGGTAGCTCCCAGTGTTCAGTTTGCCAATTTGCGTAGGTGGCGTTTGCCTGGTGGCCAGGCATCCTGGCAGTGCCAGGCAGAAGGGCCTCCATCGCCCTGAGTACTGACTGGAGAGGCTTTCTGTAGGGCTACCTCTTCCCCAAGGTCCCCATTCCAGCCCTGAACAAAGCCTAATTTGTAGGTCTATGTACAGACAAATGTGGGCCCTGCAGACTAGTGTTTGGCTCAAATTCCTTCCTTCTGCTTGGAAGGTGGGGGTGGGGAGAAGAGTCCACTCCCTGCACATCCTTTTCCGGTACAGAGTAGGCAAGAGCCAGACCTCTCAGGTTTCAGCCCCTCTTCGTACCTCCTTATCTGTGTGGCCTTGGCAAAGTCCTTTTCGGTGAGCCTCAGTTTCTTCACCGGCAAAGCAGTAATAAATAATGTTATCTCTTGGGAGGTTACTAAAGGTGAGACATATGTAAAAGGCTTAGAAAAGTGCGTGTCCCAAAGCCTCCCTTGCTGTGTTGGCTGTTACGAGTCTGTTATTCTTGTTGCAGGCTGCCACCTAGTTACCAAGATAAGACATCCTGTGGACAGCTTGGGGACCGGGAGAGCCTTTCCTAAACACCGGGGGGGGGGGGGGGGGTGGCATACCTGGGCTTTCCCTCTCGCCCAGTCCTGGGAGCCTCTGCCACTGCCTGACTGTGGTGCCTCTCTCCGCAGTACGTGCACGAGGGTGGAGTGGAGGACCTGGTGAGGCCCTTGCTGGCCATTCTGGACAAGCCTGCAAAACTGCTGCTGCTGAGGGACATCAGGTGGGAGGGGGGAGGAGGGAGGGATTTGGGCAGGAAGGGCACCCCCGTACCTCCCCCAACCTTCTCAGGACTGAAGTCCTCCAGCAACTCCAGAACTGAGCCCTTGCCCACCCCCATCTGGTCCTCCCCCAGGAGTGTGGTGGCCCCCACGGACCTGGGCCGCTTCGACAGCATGGTGATGCCTGTGGAGCTGGAGGCTTTTGAGGCCCTCAAGAGCCGGGCAGGTCAGTAGGCAGGGGGCGGGGCTTGCGGATCCTGAACCCCAGGTGGGGGTGCGGGTGGCATGTCCCACTGGAAAGGGGGCAAAGCCCTCTCAGCTGTGTCCATCAGGGAGCCTGGCAGTAGGGCCCTGCTGCTGACCGCTTCTTTCCAACCAGTACGGCCTCCAGCTCTGCGGCCGGCTCGGCAAGACACACCACCCAAGCGTCACCTCATCACCCCTGTGCCTGGTCAGTCAGAGTCCCAGAGACCAGGGAGGGGGCACACCCATGGGGGCACTGGGGCTGGGAGAGCAGGCCTTCAGGGGTGTGTGGTCCCCTAAAGGGAAGCTCTCATCCATCAGAACCATTCCTGTCACATCCACTCATCACCGTTATTTGTCTAATTGGTTTTAAACCCACTCACTTTTTAAATCTAGTCTCATTCTCTGTAATAATCTCCAAGAAATCATCAGTTTGATGTGTGAGTCATATTTTTTCTTAGATACATTGAAATGAAACTAACTCTTACAACAGAAAGTATTAAACTACTATTACACCGGAACATGGGCAGTGTCCCTACAGGCCTGAGCAACCTGGGCCTGGGTCTCCTAGGCCCTACAGGGACAAAGGCAAGGACTGGGGTCTGGCAAGGTGGTCTGGGCTAGTGAGGAGAGGGCAGCCTGACTGACCTTGGCACTCTTCCCCAGACAGCCGTGGAGGCTTCTACCTGCTGCCTGTGAATGGCTTCTCTGAGGAGGAAGATGGTGGGGAGCTGAGGGAGCGGCTGGGGGACCTCCAGGTCTCTCTGGATGCCTCTGCCCCCTGCCACCCTCATAAAGGGATACCCCCCCTCCAAGATGTGCCAGTTGATGCCTTTGCCCCACGCCGAAGCACCTGCACACCCCCTCCCCAGCCACCCCCCGTTGCTCCCCGGCCCCCGAGGCCTAACTGGCTGCTGACAGAACCCCTGTCCCGAGAAGACCCTCTCCAGAGCCAGAGCCAGGGCCAGGGCCCAGCTCAGAGCCGCAGCCGCAGCCGCAGCCGCAGCCGGGGCCGAGGCAAGTCCCCCGGACGCAGGCGCTCCCCGTCCCCGGTGCCTATCCCCAACCCCAGCACAGCCAACGGGCGCTGCCACAAGCCTCGGAAGGCCAGGCCCCCTCTGCCACGACCTCTGGATGGGCAGGCAGCCAAGGCAGGGGGCAGTCAAGGCCCCTCTGAGAATGGAACTGGCAGGACAGCTCAGCAAGCAGCCACGAAGGCCCCTCGTGGGGAGTTGAGGACAGTCACGCTGTCCAAGATGAAACAGTCCTTGGGTGAGTCCAAGGGGGACTGGGCCTGGCAGGGGCTGTGGGGTTTGGATAAAGCTGGTGGGCTCGATTTGGGGATGTGTCTAGGTGAACTAGGCTTAGGAAAAGAACCTGGGTATTAGAGAATAGTTGGGGGCGGGTTTAGATTTTGGGACTTAGGGATCCAGAGAATTTTTGGAGCAAGTTGAGGACTGAGTAGTGACAGAATTGCGTTTGGAAAAGGTCGGGGGCCCCAGATTTGGTGACTGGGTCCTGGGTCTGCCCCGGAACCTCTGGGACTCAGGGGTGTGGTGCACTCTTGCCGTTCCTCACTCTCACCAGGCATCAGCATCTCGGGGGGCATCGAGTCCAAGGTGCAGCCCATGGTGAAGATAGAAAAGATATTCCCCGGGGGCGCCGCCTTCCTCAGTGGGGCCCTGCAGGTGGGTGAGGCGCACCCAGGTCCCCTCCCCCAGCCCAGAGTTAATGCTGGCGTGAGCAGGCTGTTACGTGCTCATCTGCTGGCCAGGCATGTTTAGGCCAGGTTGTGGGAGGAGGGGGTCAGGCCTGCGGAATGAGCAAGCCCAGGGAAGAATCTGTCCCCTCATGCTAGCCTGGGCCTGAGGGCGGCCCATCCTGTTCCACCCCTTGACCCGAGGGACAAAGGACCATTGTCTGGCCCCACCCAGCCCCCAGTAGCTCCAGGCACAAAAGTCCCATTGTCCATCCTCTCCATCCAGACGGGGAGGAGTGTCCCAGCTGGTGGAGGTGAGAAGCTGGATGCTGGAGTGGGGGGTGACCCAAGGAGGGAGGGCTGTGATTCTCCCCCTCCCACCCTAGGCTGGCTTCGAGCTGGTGGCAGTGGATGGAGAGAGCCTGGAGCAGGTGACGCACCAGCGAGCTGTGGACACCATCCGCCGAGCTTATCGAAACAAGGCTCGGGAGCCCATGGAGCTCGTGGTCAGGGTCCCCGGGCCTGGCCCGCCACCCCTGCCCTCTGACTCATCAGCCCCCTCTGACTCATCAGCCCTCGCTGACCAACCCCTTCCTACTGACCACACCCCTGCCCGCTGACCCCTTGATGCTACTCCCATGTGCTTCCAGAACCTCTCAAGGCCCTTCCCAGTGGGACCCAGACCACTCCCACTGACATTGGCTTCTTGCTGATGCCCAGCCCAGTCCCCTCTCCAACCCTCCAGTGTCCTGGTTCTAACCCCAGACTCATCCCACCTACCCCACAATTCGCCCCGCTGACCACAGACCTCCCCGCTGACCCCTGTATCCTCCCGCCCTCTCCCAGACCCCACCTACTTACCTTCCAACTCAGGAACTCCCCGCTCCTGCTCGTCTTGCCTCCTCCCGAAGCTCCACACTGGTGGCTCAGGTCTCCTTGCTTTCTTTCCTCCCCAGTTGTCACTAAGGCTCTGCCCTTTCCAGACAAACTTAGTGTCAAGAACAAGGTGCTACTGGGCAGGCAGCCTGTCACCCATTCACTGCTTCTCACCTCTCAAGACAGGAAGGGGGAGGAGAAACCCAAGGTCTGGAACTTGGGACTGGTGGGCACTCCCTCCCGATCCCCCCTTGATTCTCCGAAGCACTGAGGGACTCGGACTCTGCCAGTCACTGCATCCACCACCCAGCCCCGGGCAGTGTTCTGTGCAGGGAACACAAATCTCTGCTAGTTTCTCAAACCCTGAGAGGCCACTTCACATCATGGCCCACTAGCCTCAGACTTCCGGCCAGGTCTGTCCTTTCCCCGTCCCCCTCTCTCCCACGACGGCAGACAAAGAGGGGGTGGGGGGAGGGTTCCCACAATCTCTATCCAGCACACTCACCTTTTTTTTAAAAACAAAACAAAAATTTTTAATTTTTTTCTTTGGGTTTGTACAACAAATTTACAGTGTAAAAAATATACAAGTGAAAGCGAGGCCATAAACCAGGTTGTGGGGAGGGGCCATCCAGTCACATTAAACAAGACATTTCTGAGTTCTTCCTTTGGTCTGACTACAGCCCCCTCACCACCAGGGGGGAAGCTGCAGAGCTAGAAGCTGGGGGTCAGACCCCAGTCCCAGCCCTGTCCCCCACACAGGCAGGGTGGGGGCAGGCACATCTGGAGCAGCTGGTGCTGCCTGGCTCTCTCCGGCTTCGGAGTGGGGGAGCAGCCCCTTCCTCTCCCCAGGCCCTGGCTGGCTGACCTGGTGAGCGGTGAATGGAGTTGGCGGAGTGGCACTGGCAACAGGTGGGGAGTGAAACAGGTCAAGTGTGTAGGAGCCTCTGGGTGACAGTGAACACAGGGACCTCCAAGGCGTCTGATCTTGCTCATCCAAGTCATAGGACAGCCCTGGGTTCTTGATAGAGGCCCAGAGTCCTATATGCCAGGGGACAAGAGGCTCTGGGGACCTCAGTGGACCTGAGGCTACTGTTCCCTTTCAGTAGAGCTCCCTGCAGAGCTGGGACACCAAGGACCCTAGATTTCGGTGGCAGTGATTTCCTCTAGGCAGATACAGGGGGCTGGCTCGGCCAGGCCCAGGTCAGCGAGCTCCCGGGCCTCCAGCTCCAGGCTGAGCTGCTGCAGCTCCTGCTCCAGCTGCCGGTTCCGCCGGTACATCTGGATATAGTTGTGCTGCAGCTGCTTCTGGTAGCGGATCACCTGCTCTTTCTCTGCCTGCCAGGCCAGCCGTTCCCCCTCAAAACTGTCCCTCTGTTCCTCACCCCGCCGCCGCTCCTGCTGCAGCTCAGCCCGCAGCCGCTCCACCTGTGCCCGCAGGCTGCCTCCAAACCCGGCTGCCACACGCTGTGCCTTGGCCTCATCACTCTCTGCCAGGAGGAATGGGTCAGCAGTGGCAGGTGGCACAGGAGGTTCTCGGAGTCCAGCCGCCTCAGTGTCCAACTGCCCAGCTTTCTCCCGCAGCTGCTCAGCCTCCTGGCGGTGCCGCTGCAGTTCCTGGGAACAGGCCTCCAGCTCCAGCTCCCGTGCTCGGGCTGCCTCCTGCAGACCCCGTGCCCAACCCTCACTGACCCGCAGGGCGGCCCGTGCCTCTCGCAGGGCCACACGAAGGGCCACCAGCTCACTGCCCTTCTGCACCAGCTCTGCCTGAGACTCCTTCAGTTGCTGCTTCAGCAGGGAGATCTCGCCTGACTTCTGGCACACCTGGTGGTGGGAGGGGAAGATGGTGAGAAGGGTTCTCCCAGGGGGCCAGGCCCTGACATCATGCTGGACATTCAGTGGAGAGGAAGGTTGATCCTATACCCATTTTACAGATGGGAGACACTGAGGCAAGCCCAGTGACATGTTCAAGGGCAGCTAAACTGGACCTCAGACCTGGATCTTTTTCCTTCAAAATGCTGTCTTTAAACCCCAAAACTCTGGGGACTAGGTGATAGTGGGTTTTGCAGGAGCAGAAGCAACGCACGCAGGGCAGTGGCCACATTTCCAGTTGAGAGGCCCTCCAGTATTTGAGTAAAAGGCATAAACAAAGGAGTCCGATTGCCTGGGCTCAAATCTCAATTCTGCCACAGACTGTATTGTAGTAGACCGCTCTGCCTAGTTTTAGGAATTGTATCTCTACCCATTGTGGCTAAGGGCGAGAGACGACCTTTAAAAGGCTATGGAAGAGGGTGCTCGGGGCCTTTTTCTCCTCGGAGAAACTGGCCACAGCCCACTCCTCCTCCCCAAACAGATCTCAGCATGTCTCGGTCATTATTCACTCACTCGTGTCCGTGGCACCAGGGGGACTTGAGAGAGAGAAGTCGCCCCCACACTATAGTATAATTTTGGGCTCCGGCCTTTCTGGGCCTGTTTCTGCATATCTAAAATGGGGGCATTAACAGCACCCACCTCACAGGGCTGATAATGAAGATCAGAGGATTCACAGTCTATGCAACTTGCCTAGAATAGTGCCTGGTGCTCAGCAAGCACCTCGTTCTAATTACCGGCTGGAAGGCAGTGGACGGGAATGCCACTGGCTACGGGCACTAGACCAGACTGATGAGGAGACCAGACATGAAGGCACAAGGAGGCTCCATCCCAGGAAGGGAGGTCAGAGGGGGATTCTCATCTCACAAAGGTGAGGAAGCGGAGGCCCTCTGGGGGTGGCGGGCTCAGCGGGTATGGCTGGGCCCCTCTTTCTGGGGGTTGTTCCTCCAGGACCCTGCCACTTGCCCATCCGAGTCTGACTTACCTCCCACTTGGTCTCCTCAAGCCTGGGCCCAAGCTCCCGCTGCTCCCGCTCAAAGGTGGCGCAGCGCCGCTCCAGCTGTTCACGTTCCTGCAGCAGCTGTGCAAAGTCGTCCTGCAGCTGCCGCTTCTCCTGCTGCAGCTGGAACACCTGCAGCTGCAGCAGCTGCTGTGCCCGCTGTGCCCGCTGCGCCTGGGCTGCACCATCCTCACGCTGGGCCTCACGCTCCCGCTGCCAGTGCCGCTGCCGGTCCTCGTACACCTGTGGGCGAGAAGGCAGACTTGGGTCTTGGCAGCTCTGTAAACCTCGAGCCCTAGCCTCCTGCTATCACTGACGACTCTGCCGGCCCACTGGGGGCTTTGGGAAGCTAGAGTCTACTATACTATGATAACAGTACGACAATAGCAACAACTACTTCTACAATACTAAAAACAACAGCAAGCACTTACGTAGATGTTCTTAGGTGCCAGGCATTATTCTAAACACTTTACACACTTTGCCTTACTTAATCTGTGTAACTCTAAAGAGACAAAAATATCCCCATTTATAGATGAGGCTCAATACAAATAAGTAAATGGCAGTAGGTTTCAATCCTCATCTCTCTGCAGCTAAGCCAGACAGCTGGGTGGGAATGGACAAGTGCTCTGCCTGCCACCTGCCCCCACCCTGGCACGACGGGAAATGCTCTCTGAATCCCCAGCACCTCTGGATGTCCTGCCATGCCACCCCCATTATTGCCACTGACCACACCTGGCACATGGTCACCTCGCTCTCGTCCAGACTGTCTCGCAGCTGCTGCAGCTCTGCCTCCCGGTCGCGGAGCTTCCCTTCCAGGACACAGTGCAGCAGGGCCTCATCCGAAGGGGGTGGAGGGGGTGGTGGTGGTGGTGGGGAGCGCTCCCCACAGGAGCTGTTGTCCGGGGAGGCCCGGGGACCGCTGCCCAAGGGGCCCCCAGCCACGCGGCCCCCCAGGGAGCCTGTGCTCTTGCTGGAGGAAGACCGGCCACTGTCCGAGTGGGAGGGCCCAGTAGGGGCTCCTCGGGCTGGCCCCGGCAGTGCCCCCCGCCCAGGGCCATGGGAGGGCAGGTGCCCACCTGGGGAGTTGGTAGCCGGCTCGGCACCCCCAGTGCTGTAAGTGGGCAGGCTGGACAGTGAGTTTCGGCCGGAGTCGGACAGCGTCCCCGATGGGCAGCCACTGGCCCAGCCACTCAGTGCCAAAGGTTTGTCGGCAGCTGAGGAGGAGGAGGAAGAGGAGGAAGAGGCAGGGCCCCCAAACAGCTGCGTTAGGCTGCCCTGGCTCCCAGACAGTCCGGCGGCCCGAGGACCCAGGAAGCTGGGGAGAGACGGTGCCCCTCGAGGTTTGGGCAGCACTGGCTTGAAGGCCGTTGGGCGGATCAGGATTTTCTCCATGTTCTGAAACGAGGTGCCATGTGACACAGGGGGTGAGCTGCCCAGTCTTTCAAAGCCCGTATCACACTCCCTGTCTTCCCACCTGGGGTCTCCCATCCCCACGTGTCGGCAACAACTGCCACCACTAACCGGAGGCCTTCTGAGTGTCAGCTTTACGTCAGGCAATTTAACAGGCTCATCACTATTCATGCCAACAGCCCTGTGAGCAAAACCATGATGACTGTCCCCGCATTTCAGATGAAACAGTGGAGGCCAAGCAGAGTTACAGGCCCTGCTCGGGGTCGCACTTGTTGCTGTGGGACAACGGCAGTGTTTTCAAGCAGCTGACGTTTACTGAGCGCACTGTACGTGCCGAGCACTAGGCTAAGCACTTTTCGTATATTATTTCATTCTCACGACAAACTTGTAGGGGCTGACCTATCACCTCCATGTCACAGATATTGAAACAGGCTCAGGAGAGTTAAGTGACTTCCTTGAGGTCATAGGGCCAGAATGAGAAGGAGCTGGGATTAGAACTCATGTCTAGCGAAGCTTGAGCCTGCACTCCTTTCTCTAAATAGATCTCCAAATTCCTCCAGCTTCTCCAGGAGCTCCCGATTCCACCCAGGGCCCAAAGGAAGGGCTGGTCCTCACCTTCTCCAGCTTTCCAGAGACAGGGATGAGTTTCGGTGGGGGGCCACGGAGGTGGGCATTTCGTGCTCGTTGCTCCCGCATATCCTCAATGTCGCTGCTGGGGCTGGAGGGCGACTCTGCCCGGAAGTCCTCGTTGGTGTAGGTGAAGGTGGTGCCAGGAACCGTCTTCCTGGGGGGCACAGCTGGGCACAGTGGCTCCTGTGCTTCGTAGCCACCCCGCAGCAGCCCGTCCTGCTGGCGGAAGAAGGCGGGCCCAGGGGGGCCATGGTGGCGGGAAGGAACCGGCCCCCCCGGGCAGGGCCGGCCTGAGATGAGGCTGCTCACACTGCCCATGGCTGGAGCTTGTGCGGTAGTGGCGGTCTCAGGAGCGGGTTCCAGTGGCACTGGCAGAGTCTGCACAATGGCCATAGTGGCAGAAGCTCTGGCCTGGCCGGGGGCCTCCAGGGGAACCTGTGAGCAGGGCAATGGTGTCAGAGTCCCTCCACCTTGAGCTCCCTATACAAGGTCCCCAGTCCCTCCCCTGACCCCTGATCCCAGGTCAACCCCCCCACCCGACATTGGTAACAAGCCCTGCTGTTCCCAGAGCTCCCCCTCTGAGCACTGGCACGAACCGGGATTCTCCCTGGGCCCAGACCACTGACCAGCTTGGGTCTGACCAGGGCAGAGGACCGAATCTACTGAGCAGGGAGGACGAGGGGAGGGGAGGCCTGGAGGTTACAGAGGACCCAGCCCCATTCAGCATCCCCCCCAGAAGCCAGGACTCAAGCTAAGGAGGGAACCTCGTCTATCAGCTCCCGGCACAGGGCCCTGGTCCCCTGGGACAGGTGGCCTCGTTAGAGGGCAGTGTGGGCAGGAGCAACCTCAGGGACGAAGTCAGCAACTCAGATGGTAATTAGGGAACAAAGAGCCAAGGCCAGGCAGTGCCCAGCCTCCCCCAGCTGGGCCTCAGTTTCTCCCAGACAGAGTGGCGGCAAGGGTAGAACTGGCCAAACAAGAAACTCGGAGCTCTCAGGGAGCCCACAGGTGCCCTCTGGGGTCTCCTGACTCCACGCAGGCTCATGCTTGTTGCCATGACAACTCCTAGCCTCACTATACCCACTCAGTTGAGCCTAAAGGAATCTACATAGGCCTACAGTCAAGTTCTATGAAACCTTCCAGCTTTAGATATTCCCCAGCGCAATCCCAATGGGATAAGGGTAGAAGCCCTACCATCACTCTGGCAGCTTCCTCAAGATCCCAGTTCCCCGGAGCCCAGGGCTCCGCCTCCCCAGGCCCTCCTCCTTCCTGGAAGGGGACAGCAAGTCCGCCCGGAACTCCCTCCGTTGGGGAAGACCAGGACTCGGGCATCTGCTGAAGTCATCAGGCAGAGTGAGGAGGCCAGGGAGTGGACAAAGAATTGCGTAGGAGCAGGGGTATATGCATTTCTCATTTGTGTGTGTGGAACTGTATGCACGAGCGTGAAAATGGGCACCGTGTGTAGGAAAATTTGTGTGGTGACATCATAAATAAGTGATGTGAGTAGATGTGTTTGGATATATTCATACATACATGAGTATACATGTGAATTCGTATGGGCATATCTTACAAGAGTGTGTGTGTAGAAGTTTAGGGTCACTCTTAGAAAGTATGTGAAAGTTACTAATGCATACTGGGTGAATTTGTGGTGTATGAGAGTGACTACATGAGGGAATATGTGTGGGTAGATGTCCACTCATATCATAAATACCTGAGTTTCCATGCAGACTCACATTATTTTATCCAAGTGTATAAACAGGAAAGTGAGTGTGCACAAGTGTGTACCAAGGACTATGTGTGAATAGGAGCATGTACGAGACAGGGAGGGAGCCTGGGTGGCATACAGGGCCAACTGGATGAGTGGGAGCCTGGTTTTCATCACTCACCGGAGCGTGGGAGAGGAGAGACGTTGTCTGACTCCTTTGCCTGATCTGCTCCCCTTCTTTCTTGCTTGAGTTCCACAAGCCCACCCCTACCGCCCCACTCACGTCAGAAAACCCTGAGATGCAGGAAGATGTCCAGACAGAGGGAGGAGGCGCTGGGAGTCGGGGTGGGGTGAGCAGTGTCCACCACACAAGTGCCAGCCCTGAGCAAAGTGGAGGGAACATCCCTTCCTCTGCCCTCTCTAAGACCATGAGCATGAAAGAAAGTGAGGAAGGGGTTTCTTAGGGGGTAGTGGGGGCTGGCACTTCTGTCTGCATTTCCCCACTTCAGCGAGCACAGAGAAAGTGAAAACTAAGGGGAGGAGACAGACTCAGAGAGACAGGGACCCAAGAGACAAAGACTCAGAGGCCCCAGGGTGTCAGGTAGACAAGGCAGACCCAGTGAGCCCAGGGCCTGGAACCACATGAAGCCAGGGGCCCCTGAATCCAGAAGAGACATCAGCTGGCCCTGTGAACCAGACACCCAGGGAACTGGAGCCAGAGCCAGGCGTCTGGAAAGCCAGGCCTGGCCAGCCCGACTCCCGCTCCTGAAGCCTGAGAGAGAAGGAGGGGCAAGTAGAGGCTCCATTTTGAGAAATGCGTCTGTGGCTGTAGGGATGGGAATCCCCACTCTCCCCGGCTCTCCCCAAGAGACCCCTCTGGCACAGCAACCCACCTTAATGGGCTGGAGAGAGCAGAGGGCAGCGCTCAGCCAGGACCCGAGAGAGGTCTGGACAAGGTCTGAGGGCCCACAGGCCTGTTTAGGGGGCTCGAGAGTTGGGGAAAGTCTCCCCTCACCCCGTTCCAAGGACCGGTCAAGTGGGCTAGAGTCTGGGATCACGAGTTCCCATCTGCGACAGGAAGCCGGGAGCCCCCATTCCACCCTCCGTCAGACCCCCCCCCCCCCCCCCCCCCCGACGCTTCCATAAAGTGGGAGCCGCTGTGGAATGCCCTTTCCCCAGTGGCCCTCCACCGCGCAGAAGTTGGGGGTGCCCCTAGGTTGCCTCCCCGCCCCGGCCCCCCTCACCTCCACCGCTCTGCTCCATGCTCAGCCCTGGGCCGCCCCCCAGCGCTTCACCGGCAAGCTGCCCGGCTTCAGCCCGCGCAGGGCCACTTGGAGCCGCCAGGCCCGACCCGGCCCCGCCTCCACGGCGCCCCCAGCCGGGCAGCCCCCGCCCTACCCGAGTAGGCGGTGCAGCGTGGGGGAGGGGTCCCAGGGGCGTCCCGCCCCCGGGGCGCGGCCACGCGCAAGCACCCCGCGTCACGCGTGTCCTGCAGAGCCCGCGGGGGCTGTACAGTCGGACTTAGTATTCCTCCCTCACAAGCTGGGTGGTTGTGAGTCTGGGGGCTTGGTCGGCTCAGGACTCGCAGTGGCAGCGACAGCAGGTCACCCTCAACCCCAACTCGGGGCCCCGGGGCCAGCGGCAGCTGGTCATTGTTCAAGCACAAAGGGCCAGGCACCGTGGCGGCTGCCCTGCCCCCTCGGCTCCTCTAGTCAAAGCCTCTCTGTCCCAGACACACTCTCCGACTTCGGAGTCCAGAGGAAGAGGCTGAGGGTCAGTTTCTACCCACTCTCACCAGTGGCCCAGACCCTACCTCGCAGTACAAGGCAAGGGCCCAGGCTCTGTCCCTACCTGCCCCACCCCCAGCAGCTAGGTGGCTTCAACACTTGGAGTTGTGGAGGTGGCGCCATCTGGTGGCGCATTCGGAAAACATATCTAATAACCCCGCCCCCCGACCTCTGGGGTGGGGGCCCCGCCCCTACCCTACCCTATCCTACCCTACCCTACCCAACTTCACAGCAGTGTACCCTCTTCCCCCTGAGCCCAGGCCTGCCCCAGTGGCGGCTCTGTGTCCCAACCTTCCCTCAGAGTCATTTGCTAGGAAAGTCATTGCTCGGAGAAGCTGCTCTTGGCCCTTCAACAATCACTGGGGGGAGCATGTTCACACCCACACCAGCCTCACAGCAGACCACATTCCACTGTCTTCTCGGGAAGTCACGAATATTCCTACCCTCTGACAAAGAACACAAAGTTAATACCCACACGACCTTTCCCACCTTCAGACTCACACGGCCACAAGTCAGCCTCATTCATCACGTGGTTCCATGTTCCTTCGTTAGTAATCTTTCAGGCCATCTTGCACAGAGACACACTTGGAGTCACACAGCTACTTATTTTTGGGCTCTCACAACTCGCAGTCTTTCCCACCCAGTCACAATCTTAAACACAGTCTCCTAAGCATCTTTCACACTGACTGTCTTATTCACAGTCACAACTTCCTACACGTACACATACTTCTCAAACATTCTACCACACATACTTTCCTGTAGGGGTCTCTGTGACCTGGTCAGGTCAGTTGATGCCAGCACCCCTGGGCAAGGACAGCCTCCTGTCCCCTAACAGACACCTCCCCACCGTGCCCAACCAGGGCCAGGCCTGCCTGAGCTCCTCTGCCCCAGGAAGGAGCATTCCCCCCACACACCCCCTACCCCCCCTTCCAGGCCACAGCCCTGGCCGGCTCTCAGCTCTATTTTTAGCTCTATGGAAAGGGTTGTTTTTCTTTCTTTTTCCCTGGAAAGGGAAACACAGCCCAGCCACCCTCAGGCTCACCCCAGACCCTCAGCCTCACAGGAACAGAGGAAGGCCCTCTCTCCAGTAGAGACCCCCTCCTCTGGCCTTGCCCTGATCCCAGCCTCCTGGGGTACCAGGAGCCTCCTCCCCCTTTCTGGCAGCCTGCCCAGAAGCTCCAGCAGCAGCTGGGCTCAGCATGTGTGTAGGGGTGGGGGGTGGGGCGGGGAGGGAGGCTGATTGCCTCTGCCCACTCCCTCATGGTATTGGTGGGGGGGCGTTGGTCCTTTCTGTACCTGAGGGGTAGAGGCCGACTGCAGTTCTGAGAGGAGGGTTATGCTGCTGCATTCTCTGCGGGAGAGGGTCTCCCACGCTAGCATGAGTGCGTTTTCTGCTCCTACCTTGGCGGGGAGGAGTTCCCAGTTCTGCAAGGAGGGGGTCTTAATACGAAGGGGACCCAACAGGCGTTCGGGCAGCAGCTCCCAGGCCGGAGGTATGGGGTGGGCAGGGGGAGGCCTTCTGTCCACCGCCATCAAGTATAGCGCCTCCCTCCGATACCTTCAGGGACGAAGGCACCATGAAGGTGTTCTCGAAAAGGAAGGCAAGGAGCACAGGTAACCCCACCCCGGTTCAACAGTCTCCTGTCCTCCTGCACTACCCGAACTCCAGGGGGCGTTGCGCTCCCATTTCTGGAGGAGGGCTTATCACCTCTCTAGGCGGAGAATGGAAGGTAGCCCCACGAACAACCCCCAAAACTTGCCCTGGGCTGGGGAGAGTCGTCCTCGTGCAGATGCTGGGGTGGGGGGAAGCACAGCCCACCTGTCTGTGAAGCGATCACGTGCTCGGGGCCTGTTTACGTCGTAGTCTTCACCGGCTGGCAGCCGGGAACCACGCGAGGTGTCCCACCCGCCCGCCGCCAACTGCGATAACCAGTTGGCCTTTTTCTCCTACCCCCATCAAATACGGGACAGCAGAGCTCCCCACCCGCTGGAGTCCAAGCAGGCCAGTGGCGCTGCTCCAAGGACTGCAAGAGTAACCCACTGGGCGCGTCCTTTCCTGAGTGCACGTGTGTCCCAAGTGCGTGCGTGGGTCTGTGTGCACGCATGTGTGGGTCCGTCCATGTGAGTTTCCGTGTCGGTTCCCAGTTCAGATCATTTGCCTGCGCCCCGGAGTGGGGATTCCCCCCTTCTCATCCCAGCACCCAGCTTTGCCAGACAGGAAAGTTTACTCCGGAGCCTGGATGGAAAGGAGGCGCGAGTTCCTACACCTCCGCCAGTCCCACCACTCACCCAGCGCCACCTGCGCCGCCGCTCCAGCTCCTGCCGGGCTCTTGCTCCAGTGCGTGCACCTCCTTGCCGAGGATCCGCGGGCCCTCAAGCGGACTCTTAAGCGGACTCTCAAGGCAGCTCTTGGCTCCGGGCGCCCGCCAGGTCCAGCCTGGTGGAGTGGGGCGGGGCTGCTGAAGCCGCGCCCCCGACCCAAGGAAGGGAGTGGTCTGCCCAGCACCCCCTCAGTAACCAACACTGTACCCAGCCCAGCAGTAACGCGACAGTGGCACAACGCTGCCCTCTGGCCTCTGACTTCACAGCCTACTGGATTTGGCTTTCAACCTGGGGAAGGGGCAAGCTGCACACGATCCGGAGCTAAGCTACCTTCCTGGCTGGCCTAATCAAACTGGCTGTAGGGCTTTCCTGTCACCAAATGCTGCTCTATGGGAAGCCGAAACTGGTCCACTCTAGGCCCACTCCCCAGACACAGGGAAAACCCCTGGGAAGCGGACAAAGAAAGCTCGGGTTTCACCCAAACAGACCCACCTCTCCTTCCCCAGCACCTCGGGTTGGGGCTGCCCAAGCAGAGCCAGCACCTAGCACTCCCTTGGAGTTGATGTCTGCCCAGGTGAGCAAGCCTGCCAATTCTGGCCCCTGTACAGAGTCTGGCTTCCCTTAAACTCATAAAGTTCCACCCACAGGCACAAACAGGAAGTTGGCCTGTATTGCAGGGAGGCACCTAGGGCTCCCTCCCTCCATGGTACCTAAGGCAGCCTGTGGGAAGGCGGACTGATGTCTACAGGTATCTGGGCCTTATTTTCAGATTTAGTACTTGGGCAGCAGGAGTTGGGTGAGCTTAGTCCCTTCCCAGACCCATTCACCATAAAGACGCTGCTGGAGGACCAAAGCAGCCCCTTCAAGTATGATGCTGAGTCACAGGTCAGGCTGCAGGCTGAGCCCTCAGGGAGATTCTTAACATTTGGACACAGAGCACTTTGCCTCATGCCACTTTCCCTGGGTACAGGGTCAGTGGCTCTCAGAGATTCCCCACCGCTGTCTAGTCTCCAGGGACTCCTGAACACACTTTGGGCTCGCCTTCGTGTGAGGAGTTTGACAGGTATGGGGTGGAATGCTTGTGTAAGGTGTGGGACTGGGGGAGCATCAGCTTCCCCTCCCTCCCCATCATTCTGGTTTGTGTTGTGTGGGGGTGTCTGCTAGGAGGGTGGGGCAAGACAAACAGGCAAGTCCTCTATCCCCAATTCACAGAGACCTCAGAAAGTTCCCCTAGTGGAACCTCTTAAGAATTTCCTAGAACACACCTGGCATTCTAGGGAGACCTAACGTGGAACCCACATCCTTATTGGTAGGACTGACATGGTGGTGCACATCTGGAAGGCATGGCTGACGTTCGGTGTTACAGACCTTGGATGAAGCCTAGATCAGCCAGCGGCTGGGAATGATTACCACGGGACTAGGAGGCCTGGCTCCAGCCAGTCTGGGAGGGACCCCCAAGAAGGGAGGCCCTGGAGGAGCTCTCTTCCCTCCCCCACCAGGTTCTTCCCCAACGAACAGCTTTGCTGCAGGTCTGTTTCAGGAGACAATTGTAGCCATATAGTTCTAAGACATTAGAAAACAAAGACCCCAGACCCTTCTACAGGGTCCCAGAAGCCCCTTCTTAGGTTAACAGGGAGACCTTGATAAGACAGCCCTTCTTCAGAGGAAGACACCAACCCCTCACCCAACCTTACAAAAGACTTCCCTGCAGGGCCCTCGGAACACCTTGCATTCTCACAAGGCTTGCAGGCAAATCTAAAGGGAAACTGGGACTTAAGGTTATCAGAGAAAGTGAGATGTGTGTCATCATTTAGGAATTTTTCTGACAGGGTCTCTTTTCTATTTCCTCCAGGGCTTGTTAAAAACTAGAAATCCTATACCTCCAACTTCTAGAATTACCAGTATCCGTGTGTGTGTGTGTGTGTGTGTGTGTGTGTGTGTGTGTGTGTGTGTGTGAAAGAGAGAGAGAGAGAGAGAGTGGAGAGAAGGGCCTAGGTTTTGTTTTTTCAAGAGGGAGCCCCAGGAGTCCTGACACACACTAAAGAGGAACATGGAGAAGGTACAGGAGGTTGGAGATGGTTGGGGGCCAGATGAGAACATGCTGAGCCTGAGTCCACACTGAGAGGTCAGCGGGTGGCTCGTATCACAGAGGGACAGCTGGTTAGGCAGAGTCTAGGCATGTGGCCCGGTGACCCACACCTCTGCCAGGGATCACATTAAGATCCTTAAGGAAAACGGGGATAAAGAGGCACCGTCCTGTCTTCCCTAGGCT